GCAAAAAAAATACTTTGCAATAAAAACGTTTGTTAGCATAAGAATGTTAATCTACATCTGCGCAGTTCAATTTTATTTGATGTATTTGATAATGATTGAGCATCCCATTTGGCTTTTCATATACAAGTCGTTCGTAAAGTCATGCGTAACTTTAAGAACACTTAATGAAACACCCCAAGGTCATATATTATGGTCATATTTCCTACTTAATGTGATCAATCTAGCTGCTGAATTTTGGATTCGCTGGAGAGGAGATATATGAGAAATAATGTTTTCTCATTTGCATTTCTTTTGGGAGTTCGTTTGAGTATATCTTATTTAGTCGATTAATTATTCTCCTATCCAACAGATACGTCTTTATTGTGCAAATTATTCTCGATCACGATTGTTTTTTCTTCGATTAATTATTTGTAGCTTGTGTCTGATTTTAATGACAGTATGCAACCTTAAATATCTCAAACCGTGTACCAACAAAAGTGCGACTATTTGTTTTAGTTTAACTCCTAGATTAACTTTGGGGCACAACTCCTTCACATGTGCTGCTCTCGTGTTAGGGGGAGTATTTTTTTTTTAGAAAGATAAGATTAGATACTCTTTTTAATAGATAAACATTTAGATAAACATTTTAATACTCACTATGTTAAACTACGATGTAAAATGAGCTCTGAACCTCTAGCCTGCCTTCGAAGCGTAATGAATTATGTTTTACTGTCAAATATTTTGCAGTAGGTAAACTATTCTCTTGAGAGATAGGAAGAGCAATCGATTAGTTTGATCACTTCAGACTCGGTACAATTCAATTGCATTGCGGTCATGAATATACTTTTATTTACTTTTATTGAGAAAGTGAAAACCACCCCGACGGGCTGTGAGAATGCAAAAACATTGTGTTCATTTCTTTACCATGGAGGAGGGGGAGGGGTGTGTGCCTGCAGAATGTTTGGAACCATACTCAAGGCACCTTCCCTCCCCTTCCTCCCCTTCTCAAGGAATCCTCGACCCACCTTAGTAAAAAGAAGAACGTTTAGTTTTGGTAGCCAATCGTCTTCAATCGTAATGAAATTACCACATTTTGTCATTCGTCTTCATATACCTACGTGCACGTCTGGGGACATACGATACATTAATAGGTTGACCTAGGTTAAAGAAACACTGACTTTGTTCTCCCGCCCTAATAATTGGGTTAGTCTCCTGGGAAAGGTTAGATAAATGCTTTGACTTCCACGGGGAAGCGTCACGGTGTTTTTACTAGAAGTGGCTGCATTGCCAATTAAGGTCGCGAACTGGTCATGTGATTAAACAATAAAAGAAACTGTCCAGAAATTAAAGGGGAAGGATGGTTACGCAGTTTAAAAGGACAAGGTTAGTTGTGTTGATGTCATCAAGTAGATAAAACTATTGGCTCAGTCTTGCCCAGAATCATAATGTACCTACAATGAAAAGCACTGCGAATGGTATTTGGGGAACATAATAATTGTGCTATTTTGTTTTCCATGAAATATTCTCATACTTTGGTATTGGAATTTCTAAAGTTAGCCTATTTATTTAAGGTACAGTTTATGTTATCTCCGGTCGTGTTTCGAATATGAGAGCCTTTGCAGATCAATTGTCCTCACAGAACGTTTCAACTACGACATTACTCCACATCAAAATGACATGCAGAAAAAGCTCACTTTTGGAACTGAGCTGTTCAAATACGACGGACTGCCGACTAACTAAATCAACTGCATCGGCTTTAAGGCAAACTCAGAAATTGATATCGGTTGGCCAGACGGTTTTATTTACAAATTCTTTAGTTACTGATCTATCCTTCCGATTTAGCCTTCTATGGGTTCTACCTTTCACTCCATCCGTTCCTCCATCTATTCATCAATGTTACTATCATTGTTTTCATTCTAGCTATAGAACGCTCAGACGACAGACAGACATACGACAGACGACATATGTATTTCGCGGGAACATCTTAATATTTGAGAAATAAATTCACCAGCTGAGCGCGCGTGATTGGACAAAATGTTTCTCCAATTTACGAACATAGTTGGCTAAACAGCTTTAGGCACGTTCGCACACTTAACATTCATGTTCTGGTCTATAATAGGTGTATATTAAATTAAAATGTGTCAGCCCCCCGGATTGGAGAAGTCAGGAACTTATTTTTGGAAAACCCACCCACCCTGAACCCCTCGCAAAGCGAAAGGGCATGACCAAAGGTAAATACGAGGAATGAATAAAATGGTGATCATAAATAATTTGGGAGAGCATTGTCTAATAGTCATAGCGCGGGGAACAAGCTTACATGATTTATAGGCTTAGTATCCAAAGCAAATCCGTTTAATAATTTTGTTGTAGTTGACAATTGTCATGACAAAATATGCAAACATGTATGAAAACCCTGATAGATACTGAGCAGACATAAAGACGGCACATCAGATGACAAAGCTGACGCAAGTTTGGAACATTGATTCATTGGTATTAGGTGATTTTAAAGGCATTGCATGTTAACATTTCTCCAAAATTATCTTTTTTTGATGATCGAATAATTTTAAATTGTGATTTACTGCGATTCATTCTTCAAAAACTAGATACAATGTATAGCTTGAAAGATTTAATGCATTGAAAATTTACTGAATGATGTTTAACATCTGGCCCTGACAGATACCAGTGTTCATACCAGCTCTTATTGAACTGGGTTTCACTATGAGATTTTATTTTATTAACATGCCATTGTTTTGTGTGTGCGCAGACATGGCAGATGAATCAGAATCAGTAAAAAACCGCATGGACACATCCTTTGCTTAGTAACCCCTCAAGTCATAATTCAGATTGTCGAAATCTTTGTAAATGTCAATATTCATGGAATACCAGGAACACATGACAGGGGGGATTAGCTAACGATGGTTAGAGGAATAGTCATCATCTTATAAAAGTATGGTGTATGGTAGTAAAGGTAAAAGAGCCTACGTCAGGTGGATCTCAGGCTAGATATATCATGACAATCATGAATACCATATCGTCGCATGTCTCAAAATATTCCCCCATCTTCTTCTTGAATGTTGATAATTTCCCAGGGTTTGAGCTGAGAGGATTTGTTTTATCCTACTTAACAAACCTCTGCTGAATATCTCCGCATAATCCAACACCCTTGTCATTTCCTATGCATGCTGATATGCTTCAGAGTTTCTACCTTTAATGAATGTTTAATTCGGATGTCTATTTTTCGTCTTCCATTAACGTCATCGAGTTTGTCAAAGCCTAAACGTGAAGGGGCGAATTAACATCGGAGATTTAAAACCTACCGCTCCCTTTCCTAGCTCTCCTATTTATCATGACATAATGTCTGGAAAAATGGATTGTATGTGTTATGCATTAATCTCACGTATATCATAACATATTATTGTTTAGGAAAGACTTCTGACAGTATTGTTGGTCGTTAGGTCTTTTGATGTATACGTTTCTATTTAATATTGCCCTTTTGTTTTATCAACAGGAACATAATTATGTATGTGTTTTTTCCATCGACATGTCTTGATCTAAATTATAGGCCTACAATTTGTAAATTTCCTTTTCAAAGAAAGCCTTCTCCTTCAAGTAGAAATGTTCTCGTCATCCCATCCAATGCCGAGTTAATGTCAAAATGATTTATGTGATAATTGCCCCCTCTCCCTGATCTCTTCATGCATCGAATGCAAACCAGGCTCATGTGACGCCCTCTAGAGGACAAGCATAGCTAGTCTCACCCCAGTCTGTTGTTAGCCCCGTTTATATCACTTGAAGATAAAGATGAGTACTGGTTGTGGGATTGCACTGGGAAAGAAACTATTAAGAAGTTATTGGGGACTGTTGGTTATGCACTACTGTATATTATGGTGTCTTTGAATGATCAAAATGAAAAGAAATTGACTCAATTTTGATGAATAGCAGATCCACTGCACATAATGGGTCAATGGGACTGCTGAGGGCGTTTGCTATGCAATCCCTTTCTACGAACATGCCTTCTATAATACTATCTAAACACAAAGAATAAAAACGTGAGCAAAATACGAATAGAAAGGAGCATGTTGGATACATCGCTTCAGGAATAATGCCTTGGTATGGTTTCGAACCTTAGGCCTTCTGGATACGAGAACAGTGTTATGTACCTCTGAGCCGTTAGACCTCGTCATTCACCGTCATTTTGTTTTTTTTAAAATTATTTTTCATTGTATCTAGGGTTATTTTGTCAACCCAAAGACTACCTTTAAACGCGCTCAATATATATGCTAAATAACTGATTAATGATTAATATGCCTCATTCACGACGCTTATTCTGGAAACAGATTTCTTTAACGTCTTATTTGTCGAGAGAAGACGTCAACCATAATTTATATTCATAGAAGGAGAAAGAAATCAAATCATTCAGTCTGATAAGAATTCGAAATTAAACTCAACATCTCCTTCACAGTAATGCAAAGTATTTCCACAGTCGTGACGCAGTACTTAAACCGATATTTTTCTCTTGTTATTCATGAGCATCTCATAAGGTCCCGATCGTATTGCAAGTAAACAAAAACTTCTATACAACCTTTTTTCAAAGTTTATAAAAGAAAGCAATCCTTGCGAAGTTTTCCAAACGATGTTCGTCTCTTTGATGATTTTGAAGATCTCGAAAAGGTCCTGATCGTCTTCCAGTTTCTTGTTGGATTTGTATGATCATCCATTATTAAAGTATACATTTTTCCTCGATGTGCTTGTGCTGAAGCATGTAATACTTGTTTAAGGTATTATCCACATATCTTTTGAATATCACTTCAGGATGCAAGTAAAATTGCAAGGCAGATTCAGTTACGCCCTCAACAGGCTATTATGACTGTGTTGTTGGGGAGCGTTTTCAGACGCCTTTTGAAATCAAAGATGCCTTTAATTTTACATTTTTGAATGGTCCTTAGTTTAGAGGTTGAGTTAGTGATGAAATGTATATTTTAATATATTATTTTTTTGTTTCTTTTCATGTCAGATCTGCAGAGGATTGCCAATAATTGTCTCTTTGAGGGACGATTTTCCCCGATGAGGGCGACTACGGTATAGAACTTGTGAGTATGAAATACTTAAAATACATTTCTCAATTCATTATACCGTGCTTTGGGACTCAGTAGTGTATCGTTTTATTTTTCTGATCATTTCAAAATTCTTCATCTAGTAAAAAGCTCGCTACGCTATATCGCGATCGTAGTCACTAACATCACAATGGTCATCATCCTTATCAGATGACGTACAAGCTGTGAAAAGAAGACGTAAGAACGTTGTAAAAAAAATCGATGGAGAAAAAAAAAGCAAAGAGAAAGGGAGAATAAATAAACTGCATACAGTATAGAGAGATTAATAGAAGACAGAAGACGAATATGTCAGCATCTTCATTAGATAACCGCATTGTCATCGTTTATCCCGTCTTGTTCGCCTATGAACATCTTTATCAGGATGTCATCTCCGTCATCCTCATATTCGCCAAAATCATACTCACCATCTTCATCGTCATAAATCATCTCTATTTCATCATCACTACCATCGTCATCAGTTCACTATCACCATCATCATCATCCCTAGCTTCGTCGCTGTCATCAACACCATCATCATTATAACCACCATCATCATCATCACCTCCATTCTCATATTCATTATCACCACCCGACGTTTCGATCATTGTTCTCGCCGTCACCGTATAACATCATCATCATCATCGCCACCGTGGCCATCTTCCTTAGTCTTAAAATCAGATTATTCCTCCAGCATCATCGTAACCATGGTGGCCGTCGTCCACCTCCTCCGTCACTCTCATCCCTTGATCACTCTCATCCACGCTGTCCCACTGCATGCCGTCTGTGTCTGAATCATGATGGATCGTACCATTAGCTAATTCAGGCGTTACTTGTCGCAACCTGAAGTAAATGGGTCATAAGATGTAGTCCCAAGGAACTGCTTTGTCTCATCTATTCTTGTCAGAGGAGTTTGATTTACTCCTCGATATCATTCGAGCTTATTGGGAGTTAAAACTTATGTTGAATTATGGTCACACTACAAAATTCCTGCGGCGTTTAGTCTATGGTTTTGTTCGATAAAAATGAGTGATATCAAGGGATACTCATGTATGATATTCCCAGACTTTCTTGTGTTTATTAAATCGTTATGTTTTGTTGTTAAAGTCTTCAAGCTTAACATTATCAGACTTTAAGGATTTCGAATTTACATCAGTAATGCTATTTGGCTGTACATGCTTATGGAGGATCATTTGATGTCATGTATGTAACGGTATCTTGGCACGTGAAATATAGAATTATTAGGAGCTAAAGAGGAGTATCTGGTCCTGGTTCTGACTACCCCCCACCCTCATCTAAATTTTCTGTCGGCATTATTATTTGAAATTTGTAGAGCTCTGTCGGCAACAGTTGATGCAGTCGGAAAATGTGGTCCCACCCCTCCACTCCACACCCCCTCGATTTAGAAGGTCTTACTATGCCCCTCGATCAGTATCTGCCCAAAGGAATCAGTATAACATTCATCAGAGTAGCATTACAACATGAACTGGTTCAGTTTATCAGTGCACCTTTCCTTTGACCATCCATTAACTCAGATGTCTGGCCAAATGACAGAAAAACCTCTGCAGTTGCAGACACCTAATATCCATCTCCTTAGGATAATCTCCACCAAGTTTCCTGTAATGAAACAGTCGATGCATCTTGAGATAGAATCTACATTAGAAGTATAAGCTATAAGTTACACATCTAAAATCAGATAACTAGAGTATTACAGTCATTCTTACTTCTCTGTATTGTTATGCGCACGGTAATGCTTGATGCCTGGAAGTGTAAAATGAAAAAGCAAGAAAGAAGGAAGAAAGCAAGAAAGCAGAAAAGAAAGAAGAAACGAATAAATCGCCAAGTGAAATATTCTAAACATATTTTGATTTGATGTTAATGCTAAAATCAAATTTATGAGGGACGTTTAGTGGGCAGGTGATCGACATTCCCTTCAGACCTTTCAACATAATTTGCATTCGTGCTGGCAAATCTTAAACTGGCAGGGGGGGGGGGGGTGGATAAAATAAGCACTGCCTAGTGAAAAAACAAACCACTCTTAAATTGTAAAAGTCTACGCTTCCCTCTCGCATTTCGACAATTGTTGTAATGGGTCGACGTTAGTAATGAACTGTCACCTTTTTTAAAAAGCATACGATAGCTAGGAAACTGTCGAATCGACGGTACAGTGCACTTTGTGAAGGCCCAACGTTTCTACATGTAGTATCTCTATATACAGGTGCAAAAAAGCATAAAGGTGCCAGGATCGAAGCTCAAAGAGGTGTCCAAATCTTCCATTTTATCCGGGCAATGTGTAATGTGTCTGGCTAAGACATATCCTGACACTTTCATTGGTTCCCAATCACAGTCCCTTCACGCTTTTAGTAGGACATTAACCCTTAGGCACTCACATAGGGTGAAGATTGTGAGTACATGTCTGTACACGCGCATCATTGCGATATAAACGAATGACCGGTAACTAGGCCGAGCGAGTAATTACTCGGGAAATGTAACTGCATGCTGTGATGCACACGATTGATTGGTGATTATTATCTCTTTTATTTACGAGGCAATGCTTCTAGCAACTCTTAAATCGTATAATAATTGCTACCTCTCTTGTTTCCTAGGGTGGATTTTTGTAGGTGCTGTCTGCTTGTTTCTCGATCTGCCCCCATTTCCGCCTCTCCCAGCTCTCTCTCCCGAAACATTCCTCCATTTTCCTTTCAGATTCCTCTCTATTTTTTTCTTTCTCGGTCTTTATCCCTCTCTCTCCCTCTTGAAACCTCTATTTTTCTTCTCTCTATCTTCCTACCCCCTCTCTCTTTCATCCTATCCCTCTCTCTTACTTTATATAGGCCCCTTCTCTCTCATTCTTTATCTAGCCCTCTCTCTCTCTCTCTCTTTCTCTTTCACTCTCTCTCACTTTGTCGTTTTTCTCCTTCGTTACTCCCCTTTCTACTTTTTATTTTCGGTCAAAGGCTTCATCCCCCTTTTTTAAATAGATATTTGATTACTCGATATTATTAATCAATGGTTTCTCTCGCGAATCGTCACTGCGATGCTTAACACCGTGTCATGCTATTGAATATTTAAATAGTTGATATTAATCGTTACCATACGATTCATTAATCAGAAATTTAGAATTTTGAAAAAGAAACTCTTAAAATATATGACGCAGCAAATCGTTAGCTCTGTAAAAGAGGAGCCGTTTCATTTGCGTTAATTATACCTGCGCCAATCAAGCCTTTGAAAGCAATTCGTGCATGCGTCAGCAACTCAACGCAACGCGTGCACTTTTCAATTTGCCCTCACTTTTCAAAATACGATCACTGTCACATTGCGCGTCAGACACTACACCTAGCACGTACGCCGTCCTGTGTAAGGAAAGCAAAATGACACCTTTGTGTGTAACGCGCATTACAAAATCTCATTACGCCATTATCGACCTACATCGACACAATAAAAATAGACGACACCGCAAGCTATCATCATATCGATTCTTTAACCGAAATGAATCCACTGTTTATTTAAGCATGGAATCTTCAGAATACTTTCCAATCCATCTGCTTTTGGTTTTTTTTTGGACAGATTCTTGGAAACAAAATCCGCGTTTGATTTTCCACAAAGGCATTGTTCTCGATCTGTAATCCTGTAGTCCTGTGATCAATACAGCGTGCTGCTGTTACCGATAGCGATGTGAATGTTTGAACTCGCTTCGGAATACATTTAGCCAACATTTCTCCTTAGTTTTCAAAGACAAAAATATCGCTCTAGTTTTATTTCTCAATTACGAACCAAAATATGAGGAATATGCTGTTTATATTCAGAATGAAACGACAGTCATTGCATTTACATTGGTCGGCTTTCATTTCTGAAATTAAACCCCCAAAAGAAGTCAACTTCTATACGGGTAACATACGGGCCCACACGCTCTCGCCCTGAACGCCCTCGCCCCACACGCACTCGACCTAGTCGTTGGAATAAGGTCAATGCCACAGTCGAGTTTATAAAAGTGGATGCAACAGAGCGTGGTATAGTCTCAAGGTCTAACGTGCGTTAATAATCAGTGGGACATTACCTTATCAGTCAGGCAGAACGTTGCAACGCAAGACATAAAATACTTGGGGAAGTCACTTAATTTTTAAAATTCTTCTTTCGTGTCCATTATCTGTGCTTAAAATAAATGTTCTGCCAGGCTTTTGCACACTGAAGAGCCTTCTCATTTGCTGCCACATGTCTTCCAGGCAGCATTGGCCAACTTGGAGTGGGCATCTTCATAAGTGTGACATAGATGGCACGAATGTTCCACACTCGCAGACGGTGTCCGCGTCATCAGTGTGTCCCCATTTATGCATATGTATAATGCTGTTTCAAAAGTTTGCAATTTTTTTCTAGTAATAATATTATTCAAGGAGTTTTAAGATACATGTAATTGAGCCATGCATGGCAGAATATTTTCTAAAACATGTATATCAGCAGCTGGCTGACTTTCCCGATGCCTTTTATGTCTTCCATCCCGAAGTTCTGCCTTACATTGAACGATGAGGGCTCTCCATTCACTGTGTGTTATTGTGGCTATTCTCGACGTCATTAATAAGGCACTATATACTTTACTCACCCTTTATAGTGCATACCATTACATTTTCCATTGTAATTTGTATGTAGGAGAAATTAAACAGTCCTAAAATTTGAGTTCCTATTATTTTTTCTTCTTCTTCATACTTCCCTCTTTAAGAAAAAAAAAATCATGATAATAGTTGCCGGCGTAAAGCTGTTGCAAACCTTCAATAAACTCTCATGAGAAATGCTAGTATAAAATACAATTCCCATCCTCTTTAAATTTGTAATTAACAGGTAATCTGTTTGATATTGTAACACTCGGGCTCTAAAGATGCGATAATCCGTGCATACACTAGATTCTGTTACCCTTTAGATTTCCCTGTTGTGTCTGTATTAATTACACGAACTTAAGGTTTTTAAGATTGTATCGAGTTTCTCTTACAAGCCTAAGAGCGTCATAC